ACTGTTTTAAAGTCTGCTTCTAGACCGACTTGTTGACTGGGCAAATCACAATGACCACCTGGCTTTATTTTTAATCTCACCTTACCACTTCAATCTAGCTTTACTGAAGTAACAAACATTTACATAAAGAAGACTCACTTCTGGCCCAGCGAGTAAAAAGGTATCAACACATATGGCCCGGTCCCTAAGATTCGGGCCTGTCTGCAAGCTGCTCGAGGAAGCGCCGGCCAGCTCCTGGACTGAAACAGGCACTAGATGGAGCGCGGATGACGGCCATGGTGGCCACATTTTACCGGAAACGCTTTCTCACAAAGTGGCCTTATCTCAATCACTAGGTTGGGAAACCTGGCGGGTAAAGCACTAAAAACCAATTTAAGAATTCTAGGTGTTCCTGGAAATGTGACACATGGTGACTTCAAAGCTTTCAGCACTCAGCCGCCAACAACCGTGAGGTAGGAACACCAGGACAGCAAAGGTGAGGCAATGGGGACAGCAAGAGAGCTCCCAAGACTTTTTAGCTAAGTCCGGTAACTTTGCATTTCTTTATCCCTAGGCTACTTCAAATTCATAAAATGCACAGGAATTCAACTTGAGTTATGTACCTCAAGGCAGCTAGGTGTGTGTGTACCTTAAGGGGAGCTGCCCTCAGACATTACCGATGGCCAAGGCTAAGCTTTGGGAGAGCAGGGAAAAGGCACAGGAGTGGAGTGGAAGTGCAGAGCTCAGACACAGCTCTTCATAATCATTCCTTATGCAGAGCTCTTCAAGGGCAATGACAAAAGCCTGGAATCAACGGAACTGCTGAAGACATCTTTCTGGGATGGATCAGAGAAATACACCAGATGCTTCCAAGTTGTGAGCCACAAGATATGGTCTATATTTGGTTAGGTTGCTTAGTTTTCTGGTTGGATTATCTCTGCATCAGAGAGTACACAGCAATGTAATAAATTTTTTTTTAAGTAGTACTTAGAAAAAATCCAAATATTTAATTTTTTACATTTGGATAATCAAATACTATAGGTCTTCCATTTCTCTTCAAAGATCACATAATAAAGAGAAATACGATCTTTTTACATTTTTCTTAGGGGCTTCGAAATGATAATAGAATTAATGCCAGTTACTTAATAATTTCTTATGCAAATTTTAGGGAGTAGACACACAGGTAAACTCAATTACTTATTTTCAATTACCTATTTTCTCATCTTATGAAATAGAAATAATTATGAAATTGTTAGGAACTTGGAGATAATAATATATTCGAAACTTATCACTATATGTTAATGAAGGTCAGAGATTTTAAATGAATCAACCAAGGACCCAGAGCTGGTTGGTGGCATATCTCCAATTAGTGTTTCTACAGCCTGGGTGCTAGCACCTGAACAGCTTGAGTTAAAATCCTGGCCCTACTAAGCACTAGCTATGTACCCTGGGCAAATTACTTAACCTTTCCAAACCTCTTGTGTCTTTATGAGTGTTGCTGGAGTGGTGGGGGGTGGGAGGGATGGGGTGGCTGGGTGATAGACATTGGGGAGGGTATGTGCTATGGTGAGCGCTGTGAATTGTGTAAGACTGTTGAATCACAGACCTGTACCTCTGAAACAAATAATACATTATATGTTAAAAAAAAAAAGATAGTAGGAAGGGAAAAATGAAGGGGGGGAAATCGGAGGGGGAGACAAACCATGAGACTATGGACTCTGAGAAACAAACTGAGGGTTCTAGAGGGGAGGGGGGTGGGGGGATGGGTTAGCCTGGTGATGGGTATTAAAGAGGGCACGTACTGAATGGAGCACTGGGTGTTAAACGCAAACAATGTATCATGAACACTACATCAAAAACTAATGATGTAATGTATGGTGATTAACAGAATAAAAAATAAAATAAATCTCTAAAGTTGAGATAATATCATCTACTTTATAGGACGGTTGTGAGGATTTATGATACAAAAAGTAGTGAGTGCAGTAAATGCCCTTAGAGTGTTGTATCTGCCCCCCAAATGGAAGTCCTCTTTCTGCCTCTTGGCTTGGTGCATTTCATAACAACAGAATAAAGTATACGAAAACAGGAAGCTCTCCTATAAACCCCTGCATTCCCCAAGTCACCTCAGTGTCATCTTCTCAAGACCTTAAATTGAGAGACTCAGTCTCTCAAAATTTCTGAAAAGATGAAAACCCAACCGAATGGCATAGCAGCTACTGCCTGTTCTCACCGGTACCCTCATCGAGCCCCAGGCTGCCCCTGCTATAGTGTGCTAGTATATATCCAGCCGTAGGCCCCATTCCCATTCTATGCTGTGGTCTCTAGGATGGGGCTTGTACTCTGGTTCCTGTTGCCGATTCCTTTGGAATCACAGGGCCAGGTAAACTACCACAAACCTCTGCCTGTCTTCCTTGTATCCAGGAAACTCCTTACTTCATTCTTTGACTCATCAAGTAATTTTTGATCTCGCTATATGCCAGGCACAATAGGAGAAGCTTCCAGATTTGATTAGAACTTCCCTGCTCCTTCTCCCTCTTCATGTTCCCTCAGCTACAGTTTTAGGGGCCAAACTGGTTTGCCCTAAAAAAATTAAGAGGCTTCACCTACTTGACTACAAACCCTGAAACTGCTCAGATACTCCTACCACTCCTGATATTATGGATCTACTCACAGTATCACCTCCTTCGACAGAACCCCTACCTGGGCTGGATTCAAACGTGTGCTGTGTCTTTGAACACTAACATCTATACTAGCGTCCATGCTCTTTGAGTGGCAACCATGTTCTGTGTCAGTCACCTGGCGGCTTCCAGCCCTGTTATAATCCCTATTTGTTGACCCAGCATTCAAGTTCCAGTAAGCAGCTGGTTATGACCGTCTCATTTATTTCTGAATCTCTGTATGATTACTCTCGTCAGCAGGGCTGACTACACAAAGGATCGAAAAGTCTCAGGTGGGATTCTGAAGACAAATTTCCTGGATTAAAGCCTTCTCTACAGTCATTAAAGCCTCAAATGTTTTAAAATTGAATAATTAAAATGACTTCTATACTTATTACAAAAATGTCACCCTGAACAGAGTATATTTTTAGACTATGATCTCAGGATGCCTTTAGTAGAAGGGTAACTCTGCATTCAAATCTAGTCATACCAGGGAAAATTAACATAAAGCCCGAATGTGCTCACAACTAATAAAAATAAATGTTTTGTCTAAGTAGAGAATTTTCCAACAAAAACACCAGGACATGTGATTTGTCTGCTGGTTTCAGAAATTGTGATTTCGTGATTTCATGCACACCACAAATCTGTTACTGTATTTTACAGACATGAGCATAAATGTTGTTTACAGTCTGTCCCAGGATTACCCCTATGATGACCCTGGAATGGCCTTGAGAGTAAAGCTCAAGGACTAAGTCAGGAGATGGGTCAAGACTTCACAGTGAGGAGCTCAATGCCACGTGACCAGCACTGTTTCCGGCAGTATAGGAATTACACCTGCTGACCTCAGAGGTGCTTCCGGTCACTGAGAGGGTACAGCCTGACGGTTAGCAGCCTTTAAATGTTTAAGTGGAACAAAGTATCTTACATCAAGGAGAAATCTTATATCAGCCAAAGTAGTAGCCACCCCAAGGATTTATCAGATCTCTCTGAAACTGTGTGAGAGGGCCAGCTGTGAAAGACACATCTTGTCCTGTATTTTACGCTAGCGAGAATGCTTATAACTGTTTTTTTTAACCACATGGAAATCTTCATGCTATCCCAATGCAGATATAATACTAGCAAATGCCACAAAAATAAATTTAAGATATCATATTTTTAACTGAGCCCCCAATAATGGAAAAAAATATATCAAGTTAAAACAGACACAGAATTATAATATTCTCTCACCTCAACTGTATAGTACTGATAATTGGTATCACTGCCGATGTGATATGGAGATCCCTCCCACCTCGAAATGCAATCCCCCCCTCTTTTTTGGAATGATTGGTGCATTAAGTTCTAAGAGAGAATAATAATTACATTGAGTTCAGGTGTTAAAATGTATTAGGAAAAAAATTAGTTAGCACACATGCTACAGTCAGCATATCAGAAAAATGTGGGTCTTCACATTCCCACAACCCCATAATAGTGCATATAAGTTACTGACATAAATTACTGACAGATATATTCTGATCATTACAAATTTTAACATGCATTTAAATACATAATTACTATATCACAATTAACATCAGAAGAACCTCTTGTAATCTAAAATTACTTATAATAGTAATCTTACATTTTTATGAATAAATGTGAATAAAGGTTATTAAAGTCATTTATCATATACACTCCCCCAAACTCCAAATAAATAAATAAATATATGTGCTCAGAATCAAAAGTTATTCACATACACTGCTCAGTAAACATTAAATCTCTATGACCACCTACAGTTTAAAGTATTTAGCTCTTTGCTTAAAAGCCCTGGGAGTTTCTGCCTCTCCTGATTAGTTCTCTTTTAATGCATGATATTGACTCACCACTGTCAGAATTTTGCTAGCATTTCTAACTACAAAATAATTTCACTTTGAGTTTGAAAGAATAACAAAGGCTCCTTTTAAATAAAGAAAATGATGCAAACAGATTCTCTTCAAGGAAGCAGGAAAGGGAAAATTTTTCTCAAAACTAAAGATGATCTATACCAAATTTTAAAAATATTATTACCGTTAAAGGAGTCTGAAAATGCACATGGACTATATTGATCAGTTTGATGACCATTTTAACTCCTGCAAATCATAGGATTTTATGTGAAGAGAATTTTAGGGGGAAAACATGCCATAAGTAAATTTCCACATGATTTAGTGAGAAGATGAGTAACTTCACAGTGTGAAAACTGTTTCAGGCTTTGCTTGGTAATTTTGTTAGAAAATGCTAGACAGCTGATACTGTTACCTATGTTCACTTAACCGAGTGCACTCATTACTTTCATACTGAAACTGAGCACTTGGAATTACAAACTTGATGAATGAGGACTGAAAACATGCTTACCACGGGTTGTAATGGGGCACCGGGCATCATGGCATTGGCTAGTTGCATTTGCTGGGCCAACATGGCCATGTTCTTCTGCTGAATCAAGTTATTGCGCCCATTTATCTCCAACTGTGTTTTTAAGTGTGGGGGTGGATGAAGATATTTGCAGTTCTCCCTGGAGCAACGACCCTAAAAAAACAAAAGCAGAAAATACCATTTAAAAAAGCTTAGACCAGCAAATCTTAAAAATTAAAAATAATGCAAACCTACCACCTGGATCTACCATGGGTTTCTAACACACTGTACTGTACATATCCATTTATCATACATTTAGAATAAGTAATGAATTCACCCAAATGCATTATCAAAATGAAGTGTTAAGACATTTGAGAAAGTCTTAAAGCTTAAAGAAGTCCCCTTCTTTTAATATTAGCACTAATATTTCTAGGTCCAAGTTTAAAAATCTACCAACTGCCAGGGTAAGATTAAAATAAAGAATATGAAATGAAGAATAATATTAGCTCCTTCCAAATCTCCTGGTTAACTTTAATGAACCCAAAAGAAACATGAAGTTTTAGCATTTATTTTCACTTGTATTGAGTTCTAAGGAAATGAACTTAGAGGATTCAAGGCACACTGATACTAAGCACCTTTACAAGTATCTCATAACAAATAAAATTAAATTACTACTAAGCTTTACAAACCCATATATTAAGAAATTTGCAGCGAAAAAAAGAAAATGCCCATATGTTCCCACTGTACATAGAGATTAGTAAGTATAATGAAACACTGGTGAAAACGTAGCCTTTAACCTTTCAAAGATAAATCTAGTCTCCATTGCCCAAGAGCTATAAAACAATAGGAAATAGACATATATACCCTCCAAAAGATTTATAATGTAAAATGGAGAAACAAAACATTAGAAAAAAGTAAGAAATGTGAATATACCCTTCCTTTAGGGACATTTCTTTTCATCAAAAACATATATTAAAGTCTGTAATATGAAATAGTGTATAAGGGATTTATTTCATATTATTTCAATACTATCATCATTCCACTGTTTCCATATTATTTCAATATGTTCTCAAGTCTTTATAATGAAAGGTCTTATCGATTATTACCTCGACAACTTCTTTCACTAATAAATCTAAATAGAACTGTTTGGGAGGGTCAAAGAAAGATTCAGTTGAAGCCATCAACCACTTTTCCTGAGCTTTCTTTGATTTTTCTAAGAAAAATCCATTTGCCATCATTTGACCTTATACTGTAAACTGACGCAGCATGCTTGAGTTTGTGATAAAAATCTGGTCACAATCCTAATTTGAAAGATCTATTTCTGGCTTGTTTTGATTCAGGTTTTTAGGAACAAGTTTCTGCAAAGGGCTAATATCATAGGATACTGCCTTTCATTTTAGCAAGCTTTATGTAATAAAGCATCACCAATAATGTTTTAAATCAGAAGGTGGCAGAAGACAGTAGTTGATACCAAGAAACTGACAGGTCCCAAGACCTAGGGTAGAGGCCTAGGTCTCCCATCAGCAGCAGGAACTGTATACAAAACTAACTTCCTTAAGTCTCAGGCCTTTTATCCATTTCAAAATTGCTACATAACCTACACCATACGTTTCTTATGAAGATCAGAGGAGATAATGTATATGTCATGCCCGTGGCCCTGCACAGTACTCTGTGAGCAAGGTAAAGGTCAGGAGCTGCTATTTGCCACCACCCCCACCCCTTTAATCACATACCCAACAAAAGAAAAACAAAATATCGGTATGAAGGTAATTTTTATAATATCTCTTAGTTCTGCCTATTGATATGTTCACAAAGTAACATTTATATATTTATGACTTATTCCACAGGAAATCATGCTTGGTATCTGTTATTAGCTTGAAAGCATCCAGATGAAAAGAAACTTTTACCCAAAAACAACACTTAGAGTCACAGGAGAAACCACAGCGAACGCCTGGCCAACATAAATAAGCTCATGGTTAACACATGGTAAGATCTCAGGGCTACCCAGTTGAGGTGTCCTAGAGAAAACCTGCTTTCTCTCAGGACAAAGAACAATTTGGCTCTAAGAGAAATTCTGGTTCTCGGTATCGCCACATCATTTTTCATACTAATACTGGGTCTATTTAAGTGAAAATAAGCAAGATTATATCCACCCCGAGGATTTGGTTACTGTCAATTCACTCAGATCAGTTTCTATAGCTCCATAAAATAGCACAGAGATAGCCCTAGGCCTTGAACTAGGCCTGGCCAACACTAACACTGATCTTCCTAAGCTCTTCATCCGAGTGCCTCCCGTCACACAAACCACCCAGCCCCTCCTCCCTATTAACACAGTTCAGATTGAAATAATGGAGACAAATCATATTGCCCTATATACATTCTGTGTCAGATCATGTCAAACCTTTTAAGAGAAGCTCACATCTTTGGTTTTTGTTTTGTATTTATACTCACTCGGAAAAATGCCATTCTAATTTCTTACATATGCTACCTTTCTATACACAGCTTGGTTTGACTGCACTGAAACTTCACTTTCAAAAGCTATGTTCCTAAGAATCAACTGAGGATATTCGGTGAAAATATGCAGACGAGCAGGCCTCTTCTACAGTCTGTGGTGGTAGCTCTGGGGGGCCCAGGGATCTGCATTTTAATAGTATTCCAAGTTATTGCTATATCAGGCAAAAAACACTACAAAAACACAATTCTGCAAAGCCACGTGAATTTTCCATTGACATGTGTGGGGAAAAAAACCAGAGTAGCCTCTGCAATTGACGTTAGATAAACTCAGCTTCCTAGGGAGTTCAAAACGTGTTTAATGCTGGCTATGCTGCTGAATAATTGTGGTTTGACAAATAAAAAGGTCAAGAAAAAGTTAGAATAAATATCCTCTTCTAGAGGACTGCCTAAAACTCTGGAGAAAATCACCAGGATATACTTTTCGTTAAGAGTTAAGGTGAACGTGCCACTGGTACTCTCCATGTCCGTCCACAGTCTACACCTGAGGTCCCAGCACCATACCTCAATACGCATTTGCAAAATGAAGGAATGAACACTTCTTAATAAGTCCTTAAAGATGAATTCTACTCTAACTCTGTTCTGGAGACTATGAAACTAATAGAATGAAAACTAACTCTAATACCAAACTTTGATTCTGAGCTGTACTAACTTAACGCTTTTATTCAGAGGCCAGTAATTTGAACACCCGATAAAGTTTGCCATAATAAAGGGAGGAAAGGTAACAGAAGGTTCCTAAGTTTCACCAGGGATGAAACTAGATTTGTGTAGAGATGTGATGTATTTGGTGTCCTAAAATCTATACAGTGACAATACATTCCAAAAATCTAAGTACAGAAATTCAGTCAGATCTAGCGCTCACATATGCACATTTGTATAAAGGAACTATATTCTAAATCATCCAAAGATTTCACCTCAAGATATATTAAGTTGGGCTGCTAGGAGTAATGCTAAAATAGAAAGTGGTTTTTATTCCGTTTTGATTGCTCTATGCCATTCTACCTGTTACCATATAATTGTACATTCTATCCAACATAGCTTGGTTCGAATTGCAGAATAGCAGCTTTGTTATTTACTTGCTGTGTGACTGTGCAGGAGTTAAATTCTCTGAGTGGCCATACCTCTTCGGTAGAAAAGCAACACCACCACTGATCTCACTCGTGATGTATAAGGGTTGAGCAAGATAGTGCGCCAACTTCATTCATGGCTCCTGATATAACAGGCTCTCAATAAGCTAATAACAAACAGAAGTTGCTTAATTTAGCACTGTATCGGTTAAAAGTACTAAAAAAAATGCAAAAAGGAAACCTGTGACAATGCATGCCAATCATTAATAATATAAGCTTGGCCCTTAATCATCATTCTGCATTTGCCACATCCACTATGGAAAATGCCATTCTAATACATTTCTTATAGTGTTATATTGCTGTGGTTTGCTTTTGTTGATTGTACTGACATTTCCTGTCAGTGAGCTAGCCAGCTGACTAGCAGACCACTCTATAGGGTCTATACCATAAATACCTTCGACGCCACTCAAAATGGTTTTTTATAGGTTAACTGAACACAGATTTCAAAAACATCACTGTAATGTACATACTATATATTTTAAGGGAATGGAGGAAGTTCAGTAAAGTATCAATTCAGACTAAGTCCATTTTTCTCCAATATTTTTTCTACCTTACTTTGAAAGTAATCTTTCCAAAAAAGTCAAAATTTTCCCCTTATAGTCTTAAAAGCCTGTATGAGACCAATCATGGTCATTCAAGAGATCAACTCATCAAGTCTTTAATTTCTGAAGTTATAAACTGTTCGACTGTGAATTTAAGGATTTTTCTCATCAGCTTTTGAAATGCGTACGAGTTTGTGATTATATGTTTAGATTAACTGTGTGAGCTTCAAAATAATTTTTAAACACCTTAGTTTAGTAGCCTTTTTAAAATTTATTTTAAAATATTTTATTTATTTATTTGAGAGAGAGAGAAGGAGAAAACGAGCAGAGGGAAGGGGCACAGGGAGAGGAAGAAGCAGGCCTCCCCACTGAGCAGGGAGCCCTACATGGGGCTCGATCCCAGCGTCCTGGAATCATGACCTGAGCCAGAGGCAGACACTTAACCGACTGAGCCACCAGGGTGCCCCAGTGAAGTGTACTTTTAAATAATTAATAGTATGAGCATATACAGTGCATATCTAAAAATTATGTATATGTAAAAAAATAAAATAAAAAAATAAAAATTATGTATATGTACATACAGTGTATGATGTATATAGTGAGATATAAATTGTAGAATAAAGATAAAACTGAATAGAACTACAGATGGCAATATAGAGATATAAAAAAATGGTTTCTTAGCTATTTTTAGTATTTAAGAAAAATCAAAAATGAAACATCTTCCTTAGAAATCGGTGAAACCTAATAAACTAAAAAATCAAAATTCTATTTGAAAATCAGACAAACTAATCTGCGGCATAAATAAAATAAAAGGCACACTGTGATTATGAGGTCAGAATATAAAAAGATGTCTTATTAAGCTGCCAAATGGTAACTATGTGGTAGAATTAAAATTATTGGGTCATATCTGGGTAAACTCTGGAAATAAAGGGGCAATGAAAAAATTATAAGGGTACCAGCTTATACTCATAAGTCTTTTCCAACTTTCAATGGA